CTCGTTGGCTGAACGGGGCTGATAGCACGCACCAGTACCGGTAGGGTATGGCGACAGTAGAAATTAAAAGGGGACGCACAGTGGACCAATAACTGGTCTAAGTGCATGGGCAAACCCACCCCCTCTAATAATAATAATAATAATAATAATAATAATAAATTCATGCCTCGAGTTGGATTCGTATCCACGGTCCCAGCGTTTGAGCGGGCGAAGACAATTCATGGGTCAGACCGCGCGGCGTCTGTGATCTGCCATTGATGAAAAGGTCAGAGTTAGTCTACGACTGGTGGTTTACCGCCAGCTCGTGTTTGCGCCAAGCCCCTTGAGTATCACGACCAGAGATTTGTTTTCTTTTTTCAGCTGAACCCTTGCGATTGTGGTCCTCACAAAAATGTGGGTAATGAAATATCAGGATTTCTATGAGTAATAAAGCTAAGGAGCACACACAACTCGAATGTGCCCTCCCTAGCTGTGCTGGTTAATGAAGGGGGGGGGGTTAAGCAATGGGCCTGAGAACAGTGGTGGGGAAAAGAGATTACCGATGACGGCGAAAACATTGTCGCGTGGAATAAGGTAAGCGCAGAGTTGTCCCTGGACTTAACTAAGCACCATGGCATGAAGACGTATGGTGGAAAGCTCCATACTTTCCTGTTCTTGGCACTAGATGGAGATGAATCAGGGATCTTCCCTTCACCATGTGCTAAAAACAAAAAGCAAAATTGAAGAAAAAATGAACTATACCAGGTATTAATATTGAATATTAGGCGTATTTTAGGACTGGGTACGGGCTGGACGACTGAGGGGCCTGAGTTCGAGTCCCGTTAGGGTCAAGAATTTTTTCTTCTCCACGTTCAGACCGGCGCTGGGGCCTACCCAGCCTCCTATCCAATGGGTACCGGGGGCTCTTTCCTCTTGAGTAAAGCGACAGGGGCGTGAAGCTGACCACTCACCTCCATCTAGCGCCGAGGTCAAGAAAATGTGATCTATACGTCCATTCCCCCCTCTGCCTTCATGGCGTGATGCTTAATTAGTTAAGCAAAGGAACAACTTTACCTTTTATTAGACGCATTTTAAAATGTTTTCTTCCATCGCGAATGCTGTAGGGCGAACCGCTTGAACCACCGCCTCTGTGGTCTAGTGGTCAGAGTTCTTGGCTACAGGACCAGAGGTCGCGGGTTCGACTCCCGGTGGTACCAGATTTTCTGAGAAATAGTGGGTATGGAACGGGGTCCACTCTGCCTCGTGAGGATGATTGAGGAGCTGTTTCAAGGAAATCACGGCTTCGGTCTAGAAAACCGAAATTAACGACCGTGGGGATTCGTTGCGCTGACCACGCGACACCCTCTCTCCGCTAAAGGTGGCACTAACTTCGCTAACTAGCGGCGGTCCTTCGGTCGTTATAATTCGCTTGCGGATTAAAACCACGGAGTTTGTTTTATACCGCTTTGACGTGACGTTTCGTGGTGCCCCCAATAATTTCGTTACGTGTTGTCGAAACAAAAGTGAAAATATATTGCACTGTGTAATCATTACTTTCAGATAACGCTTGACTCACCTTCGAGATATCGATATGTGCCCTTGGGTTGCCCACGGAAGGAGTAGCGACAGCCAGAATGCGGGAAGAGTGTGGTTGCTGTGCGGTACAATTATATCATTAACGAAAGATGCCCTAGCGATAACGGAAACGCACATAACGCGAATAACGCTGCCTCTTCTTTATGTCCCCCTCTTCAGATTTCTTTTTTAACCTTCATTTACTATTGGCCTTTCCGTCGCCAGACCTCTTATCTCTCCACCCTCTCTCGCATACTCTTCGCCTCCCTGACATTTCCTCCTTCACGTTCTCAGGGAAAGAAAGAAAAAAAAGGGAACTTGATGGGAAGTTTTGAGAAAAACTTCTTTATATGAGTTTCTGCTTCTTCCTTTCTCTTCCTCCGCTCCCCTATTCTTTCCGTTTTATTTTTGTCGCAGAAATCATTCGGTGTATTTTTAATCTCGGGAATTGAGGAAGGAGGGCGTAGGAAGGGAAGTGGGTGAGGAAGGAAGAAAGGAAAGGACCGAAAATACATCTATCAGACTTGTACCGGGGTTCGGCTGTGTACAGAGATACAGCCACAGCCAAAACATGGCGGCTGAATGCATTACTTCCTGGATAATTGAAGGTTGCAGTCTTGCCACGGCGCTTTTTGCATTCTAAGTTGTGGTAGATTTAAGGTTCACACGTTTCTGGCTAAAAGTGTCATTTTTGGATTGCGACGCCGTGTATCTATTTCTTGAAGAAAGCAGTCTTCTGGGATTTGGCACCGTGTATATGTGGTGTTAACCGAAGTTTCGGAGGAACGTATCGCCTCCATCTTCAGGGTAGAAGAAAAAATATAAGAAATCTGCAAGCGACGAGACCGTGAGAACCGGTAAAAGCAGTCTCGTCGCTTGCAGATTTCTTATATTTTTTCTTCTACCCTGAAGATGGAGGCGATACGTTCCTCCGAAACGTCGGTTAACACCACATATACACGGTGCCAAATCCCAGTAGACTGCTTTCTTCATAGTCACCGCCGTGAAAGCCTCAACTCTTACATAACTATTTCTTGTTTATTTAACGACTCTCTCAATATCTCAGACCGTATATCGCCGAATGATGGGTTGATCAGTGAATGAGGAATTGGAAAAATCGGTCTTGGCCTGTTCGAGGTAATTCCGACATTTTTCTGTAGGGAGTGAGAAAGACCACAAAACCACTCAGTCAGTATAGTCATTGTCTCTGCCGAGATTCGAACCTGTCACCTCCCAGATTCACATAATAAATATTAATATTTCTCGCTATGACGAAGCCTGTTAGAAGTTTGATTTCGGTGAAACTTTCTGCCTCCATCCTCACAGTTTATGAATGAGCACTGATAGTTGCTGTGCACCTTCAGACGGACCTAGGTAGCGTCTCTCCCCGAAACATCCTGGTCACCGTCGCGAGAAACAGATCTGACGTAATGCACGTGGCAACGAACGCTCTCTGGGCGCCGCGTACCGGCACCCTGGGGCCACAGGTTGTTTCACTGTTTTCCTACTCCCCGATTTCTTGCAAGTATATTATTTTGAATTGATACTGTAAAGTAAGGCAGTTTTTTGACAAATTTAGTGTAGGAACTGAGGGCAACTGCTGTGAGTTGACCCCGTACTTCTCCATTATCCAAAAAGGATTGTTGTGTTTTGAATTATATATTCTTGAGCTGGGGGNGGGGCGAAGAAGGAGGGTAGTTGAAGCGTGGGTTTTGAGTTGGAGTGTACGGAGACGTGGAGTTTGGTTGTAAGGCTCGCCAGCCAGCTGAGGAGGAGGAGGAGGAGGAGGAAGGCGCGCAACGAAATGGAGTTAATATATCACAAGCCCGTTACATTGGTCTTGACAGTCTGAATGGGCTTGGGGAGCGCGGGCCTGCCTTTCAGTATAAGCACAGAGCTTGAGGCCGGATTCCAATGTCTGTCCTTAGAGGGCCATACCGAATACCTCTTCTTCTCTCTGTTTTTGTTTCTAAAGACGGTTTTCCAATTCCTAACCCTCTCACCCCACTCGTCGATCATCTGTACAAGAGTTCCGCTCTTCAATTCCTATTTTCAAAAATGCATAGTCTTCATTTTCCTTGCTCTTCTTCTGACAATAATTAGACCCATACATCGGCCGGTTTGACGCTGAGATGACGCTCCAGACTTGCATTTTGGAGGTGCGTGCTTCGAATCTGGGCTAAGACACGTACTTATCCAAGCAGAGATTTGTCCTAGTTTTCTTGTTCCCGCCCTGCCAGGTAATTAACAGGATAGTGACTTGATTTGACCACGATTGCAGCCTTCCAGATCCATTTCAATTCATTATTCATTCTACCATTCGATGCTATATAATCCGGGTAACAGATACCTACCTACCGCTCGGCGTTACAGCCCTGGGTGAGCCTTGGTCTCCTCTACAACCAGTCTCCACTGCTCTCTATTCCTCATCTTCTCTATCCATCCTTTCACCTTCATCTTCTTCAAGTCGTTCTCAACATCGTCTAGCCTTCTCATCCTGGGTCTTCCTTTTCTTCTTTTGTAATATAGCCTTCCTTTTAACAATCTCTGTGGCATTGCATTATCTTCCATTCTTTCGACATGTCCCCATCTTTTTATTCTGTGACTTGATAAATCTTACTATATCATCTCCTTTCAGTAATGTGTTTATCAGTTCATTGTATCTTATTCTGGGTAACTGGTTGCGTAGTCAAATGAATAAGAAAGAAGCAATAATCATGAAGTGAACAGCCTGCAGAGCACGAAATGGGAAAACAAAGTATGTGTCGCGATTTGAGGTTTTCAAGGCGGCTGCTGTGTCTTATGCGATAGGATGCCCTGCTATCTGGTCCTTCTTGAAGGTTCCTGAAGATGGAGGAAGCACATTCTTCCTAACATGGCGTTGTCATGATCAAGGCGAAAGAATATGCGGGGTATGTTGTTATAGTTTTGTTGCGATTAGCCCTGGCTCCACATGCCTGTGATACAACAGCAGTTTCTGAAGGAAGCACTGTTGCCAGATCCTAAGTTAATGTAGCCAGGAACTTTGTGGTAGTGGAACAGCGCTGGCATGTTAACAATAAAACTGGCAACACGTACCAGCCAACCAGTGCAGTTTCGAGACTGACAGCAGTGACCCGACTATGAGCTGACGTCACTGTTTTCCAGTGCTATATCGAGGTGGACACTGTTCAGCACTGATACAAGGGATCACAACCCAGTTGTAGTGGCATAGCCAGGCCCTGCAGTTGCATTTCCACATGACCTGGCTTCAAGACCAGGATTCACCAGTGCTGCCATTACATTCCATAGTAACAGATGTCTTCCTGAGCTTGTTATCATCGTGGTTTATGTAAACGTGTATATAGAACATTAAAAAAATTTAAATACTTGAATTATAATGTTCCCCATATGTTCTTGAAATTTCTATTTTTCCTAACACGTTTTATTTCCTTTCATTTGAGCAGGGGCATCGCCGTACAGCATGGGCCCTGCTTCTCAGGGGACACCGACCCCAATGATGTCACCTGCGCCCCCAGGTGGACCACAAGACAGTATGGGGTATAATATGAATATGAATGGGGGTGACTACAATTCTTCTATGTCAGGTTCTCAGGTAAGATTGCGTCACAGCCTCACTTTTATCGATCAGTCCGTTGAGTTTCCTGAGTTCATTTGCTAAGATACAACCTTTACATTCTATATGAAATTCGTGGATTTTGTGACAGTGATTATCAAGGTTAGACGTGACGCTGTGTAGGCCCAGTAAGCGGTTACCAGGATTTTAGGACCTACTTCCCCCATGTGCTGTCATGAACTCAAGACTGTTTAGTGTCAAATGATTGAATGATAGTGAATGATGGATTGAAAATAATGTGGAAGGAAGTGGCCATGGCCTAATTTAAGGCACTATCCCAGCATTTTCCTGGTGACACTGTGGAAAGCTACACAAAACCTCTCTTAGGTTAAACATTGTTCTGACTGTAAATGCAAAGTGCTTCCACTGCATCAATGTGTTTTGTGACTTTAACACTGTGCTTTCTGTGTTTTGCAGCCCCCGTACACAGACAGCAGTATGGGATATGACCCCATGCACCAGGTGAGCGAATACTCTTAACTGATGAGTAGTTTTAGATGTGCTTCCATCAACCTAACAGCACCCTCACATTAAGGCTGTCCACTGCAAACAGAAAGAGGCCTGAAATGTGTTCCATCAGTTTTGAACATCCGTGGATGAAAGTAAGAGATGATCACATTTCTGTAGTGTTCTTCATCAGGTGTCTCAGTTATATCTCTTTATTATTTCTCAAACAGCATTGCCCATTCATAAACCTCAGATCTACACTTTGCCTTTAATTGTATTCTGAGCACTTTACATGGGAGTGGCATAATATTGCATTTCTTGCGTCTAGAAGTTAAAACTCAGAAGTTGATGAATAAGGAAATGTTTATGTTATTGCTATATGCATATAATGGACCTGTCACACTTACACTGTTTGTCAGATACAAATATAAATATACATGCAAATAAATGTTACTAATTACTTTTCTTTATGTGCGCAGTGCACAGCCTTGATCAGGACTTTGACTGGACTTGTTCATTAGAGTAAGAAAGTACCTTAAATTCCTGTGCTTAAGTAATTCATTTTTCTGCCAGATAGGGATTTTGACTGAAAATGGGATCATCATATACGGTGCAGGGGATGTGAACATATTAGTTTTGTCTGATGAACAAGGTCCAAGAGAATGTTTGTCTCCCTGAGCGGCATGCTGTCAGTCTGCTTGTACTAAAGCGTTCAGTTGATGCATGCTGATCTTTGTGTTCTTATTTGATTGCATATTGCGATTAATGAGTGTACTGTTAGGCCCATTCATACATGAATCTGTTTCTTTTTCTTAAATTATCTCTGATAGTTAATTCAATTGATTCCACTTTAGTTAACCAAATTGTAAACTTCTTGATTTGTTTTATTAATTTTAATGTTAACGAATCATGATCTGCACGTTCTGAAATGTTTTCTTTTTTTTAATATTAACTGAGAAATGATTTGTCATAAGATGATGATCAGCTTTGTATTTCCATTTTGTTTTAAAATGCAGAAAGTTGTGTTATCAGTCGAAGCACTTCTTACAAATACAGGATCGACTTGAATAATATCACTATGAGTGGCCTCTGAATTTATACAATATATCCACAAGTCTGAAAAACCAAATGATTAATTTATGAATCTGTATAGTTTACAGTAGTGTAGGTTATTGTCTGAACACGATCCTATGTACTGGAAATTTCATGGACTGGAAGTTTAAAGTCAAATAGAAGCAGGCATATAAAGGTATCCTGTTTGTCTGGTTTTAGCAGCATATAATCGTAAAGACATTCTATATTTTGTCTAAGAATGACAAATATAAACTGCAGTATGGTATAATTATGTCCTTATTATGCTAATTGAAAACTGAAAAGAAATATACAAATATTATAGATTCTATATGGCATTTATGAGGATGAAATTAATAAGTATAAATAAAATCCGAGTGTGTAGACAAGCATAATAGCAGATGACATCATGGGAGTGTGTCGTTAAGGGTTTCAGGTTTATGGTACCATGCTGTAAAATTGTTCTATGAGAATTCATTGGGTGGAAATGGTGCTTTGCTGACTCCAGGTTTCTTCTGCTGGTTGTGACCTGTTTAAGAACGCATGCACCCCAGGGGTACTGTGTCCAACACCACAGACTCCGTTTCCCCACGTTGCCATTGCCATTTTCCTCTGAGAGAGTTGGATTCCCTTGAGGACGGCATTGCGCATGTTTTTAATGAGGCACCTAAAATGCATAGCAAACATGTGAGACGTGCCTCAGTCTACTGCGGGGGCAACAGAACTTAATATCAGGGATTACCATTGGATTACGGTACAGTGATTACCCACCCCTCACAATGCCTCGATGGGAAAAGCATTCACTCCAGGCTCCCTTTACTTGAGAAACATGAGGGGTGTCAGTCTGTAAATTGCAACAACACGAAGTGTTTTATATATGCAGGGGGCTGAACTGTGTCGTGGTCATAAAGTTTTCACCACAGGATTGAATTTTGTTGATTTTAATAAAGTATTGCATTTGGCTATCAGTTTGAGGTTTGTCGCGGCCTAATCGGTGCTATAGCTGATTCCTTCCATTTCACTCACTGCCAATTCATCATCTTCCCACCAATTGTTAGAAGAATTCCGTGTGTAGTTGGTACAACTGATACAAACGAATGGAGCCAAACATTCAGTTGTTACATCTTCATTTTGCAACAAATAAAAGTAAAGGCGAAGCTATCTCTGTAACAGACCGTGGAGGCCCATAGGGTTGTGAGACGTCGAGGCTCTCACATTTTCTCTAGACTATCAGTTCACAGATGGCGGTGAGGTTGTCCATGAGCCGATTGTCTAGAAAATGTATGTTTCTTCTGCTTCTTTTTAGATACGGGATGGGACGGTAATATATACTTTGTAAAGTAAAAGAAAATTATTAAAGCACCTTCGAATTTAACCAGTTATTAATCATTAACTGACTTAGTAATCAACTCGATTGTCAACCAATTAATTTACGTAACCAGTTAGCCACTGTATCTGCTCTTGTTTTGAGAACTGGTGCTTGGTGCCGGAATTCGAAGTCGAGACTTCCAAATGCAGGTCAATGGGTGCTGCAGTCAAAGAGACGGACCTTACTCCGCCATTGAACTGAGAGCTGTTGGCACCACGTTGGTCGCTCCTTTCCCTGGTCAAGTTCCACCGTTTTGTGGGGGGTGCAGTAAATATGATACAGCGCCTGGCCAAGACAGAAAGCGTCAGTCCACTCTCTCCTTTTTCAGTATCCCTCTCCCTCCTTTTGTCTTTACTCTCTCCCTCCCCCTCTGCGCCCCATTCTTTGGGGTCTAGCGCCGTTTCCTATCGGTTTTCTGCGTTCAGGCTCCATTCTGTTTCTTCAGGGAATTGGGTCTTTCCCGTCTGAAGCTTCTGAGAATTCCTCCTTAGGCTTCTTATACGCTTTGTACCTTCAGTTCATATTACCTCGTTCAGCACCGGCAACGAAATTTTACGTTCGTTTCAGTTTTGCTCGTATTATTCAGAAGAGTCACTTCTTCCGGGATATAATCGCCGTGTAGTCCGTTGAAAATCAACCACCGTTTCAGGAGAATATACCACGTCCTTCTTCATGGTCGGAGAATACACAAAACAAAAATGTTCATGAAGCCGGTGGCAAGTAGAGCTTGCGTGGGGTTACTCTTCGACCCTGAAAATGGAGGCAGAATGTTACTCGAAACTTTAATTGGTTTTCAGTGACTGCACGGCGTTATATATCCCAGAAGTAGAACTGCTCATAACTACCCTTGAGAGACACACAGAATCTACACAGGAAAATATATTTAGAACCGAAAAAGTTTTACTTACTGGTGATGGGCGATGGTGATACTTCATCTCATATTGCTCTGATCACCAGAGAGGTCTACATTTTCTTTCATGTCATTGTTAGAAAGTACTGTAACGGTGAGGTGAAAGCTCTGAAATCACGCAATTTCAGGTTTCCATAGCAACCAATTGCCGATCGTCTGCAGATTGCAATTATGTAAGAAGTCGCGAACGAACGAGCGAGAAGTCTTTTGTTTTAAGTTATCATTTCCGTTGCGAGAGTATTGACTATATTTTGGTTGTACAAACAAACAAACTCCGTGGTTTTATTCCGCAAGCAAACTATACCGACCGAGCAAACGCCGCTTGTCGGTGAAGTTAGTGCCAACTTTAGTGGATAGAGGGTGTCGCGCGGTCAGCGCAGCGAATCCTTATGGCTGTTAATTTCGGTTTTATAGACCGGAGCCGCTATTTCCTTTGAAATAGCTCCTCAGTTATCCTCATGAGGCTGAGTGGACCTCGTTCTAGGCCCACTACTTCTCATAAAATGTGGTAGCGCCGGGAATCGAGTCCGGACCTCAGGATCTGTAGCCAGGAACTCTGACCACTAGACCACAGGGGCGGTCTATTTTGGTAGTAGTACACTCTGCTATATAAAGGAGACTCTCTATGGTTGTATATTTGTGAATGTTATTCGTGGGAGATGGCGTTCAACTTCGGCCTCAATGTGTCATTCGATAGCATGTATGGCGGGAAACGAATACGGGAGAAAGCAGGGTAAGCATGGAAGCTTGTATAAGAGATCAGACATCCGTGTAATTCTCGACCGAATATTTTCTTTGGAACAAAAATTTTGTTTCGATGGTCAGTTCTATCGCTGTATTCAGGCAGAAAATTGAAACATTGACGGGGGTGGAGCCCGTACATCCACGCCTTACATCCGAGATGGGACTGACATGAGACGCCTGGAGGAAACATGAGAATTGCATACAAAGTTTTAATTGGAAAACTTGAAGAAAGTAGACTACTTCCGAGACCTAGGAGTAGATGGTAGGATAACTGTATCTTAATGGTTGAGGTCCTCAAGTCTATGACTGTGATGCCAGTTTGCTTTGGTAAAGACTTCTACCCGAATCTTTAGGTCAGAAGAGGCAAATAGGTTTTTGAGGGACAGGCTCTCTTATTTTCATGCTAAGGATAGAGTCCAGTGGCGCCGTTCTGTGGCAATGTGACAAACCTTGGGTTCCATACGTATCTATTAGGTAAAGGTAAACGGTAAAACAGGTAACGCTATGCCTTGGAGGTCCATCGGGTTGTGAGACGTCGAGGCTCCCACATTTTGTAGACCGTTGGCTCACAGATGGTGAGGTTGTCAGCCTTACGCGTCGACCGCCTTTTACCCACCCACCCAGGAAGATTCTTGGTACTTAATTCTATTAGAGACTGAGCCGATCCTAGGGCCATATTGCAGCTGTAAGGGTTGGGTCAACTGAAAAATCCAATGACCTCATCGGGAATCGAACTCTATAGCATAGTGACTCAGCTTTTAAATAATTGGAAAGGTGGTAATACAGTTTAAGGTACTGTCTGGGTATTAGCCTCGGATGGGCTGAGGAAAACCTTAGTCGTGATAACCGGTGTTCGGGCCGAGTTTCGAAGCGGATACTTCCCGACTACAAGTCAGAATATTTCTTGAGCTAGCGGAGCGA